CGGACGGGAAGACTATCAAGAACGAGGTGGACCTGCAGGTGGGTGTGAGGGCAGCGGGTCAGGCGCTGGTATGATGTTCCCTGTTGATGCTATGCCTGGTGGGGGACCTGCTGGCCTGGCCCGTGGGAGGGCCTGGCGCTGGGGCACCCTGTCCCAGGCAGGTGTGGGCAGGGTGAGGGGTGACAGCTGAACAGGGCCACCTCCAGGCCTTGGGGCACTGGGAGCCTTTTCTACTGCTGTTTGTATCTCTTTCCCAGGTGCTGCATTTGCTGGGGCCAAAGACTGAAGCTGACCTGGAAAAGAAACCAAAGGTGAGGGGGAGGGGAAAGCTGGGAACTGGGATGGTGTTTCCTTGCTGAGTGTCCAGGCAGGATCCCAAATAGCTGCTCTGGGCCCAGTTGCTGCCATGGGCATGAGTCTGAGGAAGGGCTGAGGGCAGCAGGCTGGGCCCAGAGAGGAAGGCATGTGCCAGGGCTGGGCACTCAGGATGCTGTGCTGGTCCCTGCAGGCTGCAAAGGCCCGGATAGCCCCGGCGGAGAAGCAGAAGGCAGCTGTGGTGGAGAATGGTAAGAGACTGTCCTCTTGCAGGCAGCTTCCTCAGCTCTCCGGTTCCTGGCTGGGACCTTCCTCCGAGCTGGGCCCTGGGAGCTGTGGTCAGGCCCCTCCTCAGCTGCATCTTTCTCTGCAGGTGAGGAAGGCACGGAGACACGGTCGCTGCTGGAACAGCTGCGAGGAGAAGCCCTCAAGTTCCACAAGCCGGGTGAGCGCAAGTAGCTGCTGCCATGTGGAGGACCTGAACCCAGCTCTCTGTGCTGTGGGCGACTGGCCCAGCTGGGTGTCCTTTTCTGCCAGCTGCTGGGCTTGGCTTGGTTTAGAGGGGTGCTGCCGCAACCCTGAGCGTCCTCTGCCTGCAGGAGAGAACTACAAGACGGAAGGCTACGTGGTGACGCCCAACACCATGGCTCTGCTTAAGCAGCACCTGGCAATCACAGGTGGGCAGGTGAGGCCATGTTCTCCAGCTCAGCAGTTCTGTGTGAAGGCAGCACTGCTGTGCCAGGCTCCAGCCTGGTGGGTGGGGTGCTGAAGGGACACACAGCTCATCAGAGGCATGGCCAGAGGCAGCACCCTTCTGGCATGGGGGGCCCTGTGGGATCGTAGGGGGCTCATGTCAGTGCCTCCGCTGTCTGGAAGTGGGGAGATTCTCCTGTTGAAGGACAGAGGTGTCCCCTTCCCCCTGCAGGTGCGGACACGGTTCCCTCCTGAGCCCAACGGGATCCTGCACATTGGCCATGCCAAGGCCATCAACTTCAATTTTGGCTACGCCAAGGTGAGAATCACCAAGCCCCGCTGGCAGCTCCCCTGAACCCTACCTCCCTGCTCTGCTTGGCCGCTGGCCTGGCCCTGTGGTCCCTCAGGGAGCGGTTGCTAACTGTCCTCCCATCCCAGGCCAACAGTGGCGTGTGCTTCCTGCGCTATGATGACACCAACCCTGAGAAGGAGGAGGAGAAGTACTTCACAGCCATCCGGGAGATGGTGGAGTGGCTGGGTATGGCTCAAGCTGGGGAGGGCAGGATCAGGCCAGGTGCTGCTGGGGACATTCTTGCATGCAGGTCCTGCTGCTGGGCCCTGAGGGTGCATCCAACCCACTCTATCTCCCTGTCCCCACAGGATACCAGCCCTATGCAGTGACCCACGCGTCAGATTACTTTGACCAGCTCTACACCTGGGCCCTGGAGCTCATCCGCAGGTGAGCATACTGGGGCGGTGCGGATGTCCTGCACTGCAGCTGGGGCTCCTCATTTCCCAGGGGATGGGCTGCTCACATCTGGTGACCATGTGTCCCCCCTACAGAGGCCAAGCATATGTCTGCCATCAGAAGGTCGAGGAGATCAAGGGCCACAACCCACCGCCCTCGCCGTGGCGGAACCGGCCCATAGAGGAGTCACTCCTGCTCTTCGAGGTACTCCTGGCTGGGCGCAGGTGCTGCATGCCCGTGGGTTCCGGGTCCATGGCTCAGCCAACAGCTTCCCTCCACTCCACAGGACATGCGAAAGGGCAAGTTTGGGGAGGGGGAGGCCACGCTGCGGATGAAGTTGGTGATGGAGGATGGGAAGATGGACCCCGTCGCCTACCGTGTCAAGTTCACTCCGCATCACCGCACCGGGGACAAGTGGTAGGGAGGGCCTGTGGTGTCCTGGCACGTGTGGCGGGGATGAGCCTGTGTCTCCTGGCAGCGGGGAGGTCTCGGGAAGGGCACAGCATGGGGCTCTGCCCCAGGGCTGACTGCATCTGCCTTGCAGGTGCATCTACCCCACGTATGACTACACACACTGCCTCTGCGACTCCATCGAGCACATCACACACTCCCTCTGCACCAAAGAGTTCCAGGCCAGGTGAGCACCGTGCATGGCACGGCCCCAGGTGGTGGGTGCGAGGGGCTGTGGGTGGGTGTGAAGCTAAGCCGGGCTGTGCCTATGCCTCCCTTGCAGGCGCTCCTCCTACTTCTGGCTGTGCAACGCGCTGGATGTCTACTGCCCCGTGCAGTGGGAGTACGGGCGCCTGAACCTGCTCTACACTGTCGTCTCCAAGAGGAAGATCATCCGGCTGGTGGAGACGGGTGCTGTGAGGTAGGAGCAGGGCCAGCAGACAGGGTGGTGGCTCTCACCTGGGGCACACCTGGCTGTCACACCAGTGTTTTCTCAGGGACTGGGATGACCCACGGCTCTTCACACTGACAGCCCTGCGCCGGCGAGGCTTCCCCCCCGAGGCCATCAACAACTTCTGTGCCCGGGTATGTGCCAGGGACAGGATGGGACAGGGCAGGTGGATGCGACCCTTGGCCAGTGTGGTGACAGCAGGCTGTCCTGCAGGTTGGTGTGACGGTGGCCCAAGCGACAATGGAGCCACATCTGCTGGAGGCATGTGCACGGGAGGTGCTGAATGAGCAGGCCCCCCGCGCCATGGCCGTCCTGGAGCCTCTCAAGGTCACCATCACCAACTTCCCTGCCCTGAAGGTGAGACTGCTGCGGGCTGGGGTGGGAGTGGGGTTCCCCAAGGTCAGCACTCACCCCCTCCTTCTCCCCAGGCACTCGAGGTCCTTGTGCCCAACTTTCCAGCCGATGAGAGCCAGGGTTTTCACAAAGTGCCCTTCCAGCCCACCATCTACATCGAGGAGACGGACTTCAGGGAGGTGAGCCATGCCCAGTGGGCCGTCCTGCTGTCACTCCCAGGAGCTATGGCTCAGGCAGCGGGAGCCTGGCAGTGCTGGGAGCAGCGCTGATGCTGCACAGCGCACAGTGGGTGTCCTGGCACCTGACTGCAACTCCCAAATGTGCCAGCAGTTCTGCTGGGCACCAGGGAAATGCCTATTGCCCTCAGCCTGGCCAGGACACATCCAACCAATGGTGCCCACACGTGGCCTATGCACTGGGGAATGTCCCACAGCAACATGGGAGTTCAAACAGCCCTGGGTGTGCTGATCCCAGGGGCAGCAGGAGCTGGTTGAGGGATGCAGTTATGGGGACAGAGAGACATGCTGGGTGCAGAGACTTGCTGCCTGTGCTGGGACCCCTCGTGCAGCTGTGAACTCTCTCACAGGAGGTGGACAAGGGCTACAAGCGCCTGGCCCCTGGGCAGCCGGTGGGGCTGCGCCACGCTGGTTATGTGATTGCCGTCCAGAACGTCATCAAGGTGGGTGGCTCTGGGCACTGGTGACACGAGGTTGGGCTGTGGGATGTCAGGACATGGCCATACCCCACCAGGGCAGGGCAGCGATGGTCAGTTTGGGCTGGGCGCTATGGGCACAGCACGGGTGCAGGCTGCCTGTGTGGCAGCTCCCTGCCAGCCCTGTGCCTCGCACAGCAGGGAGCAAGGTGGCCCTGAGTTGGGGGCTATCGGTTTGGCCTCGGGGCTGCCCTGTGGGATGAGGCTGCTGCCTTTTGGCTCATCTCATCTTCTCTTCTCCAGGACGCCAGCGGGCACGTGATCGAGCTGGAGGTGACCTGCACCAAGTCAGACGTGGCAGAGAAGCCCAAAGCCTTCATCCACTGGGTATCGGAGCCGCTGGCGTGTGAAGTGCGGCTCTACGAGCGGCTGTGAGTACTTGGCCACCTGCAGAGGCGTGGGTGCAAGCTCAGCGGTGCTGGAGCGGCCGTGTGGCCGTGCAGCAGTGGGCGCTGCTGGGGGCTGCCCGGCTCCTTGG